TCTCAGGAACATACAGGCCTTCTTCTCTGGGCTCTTTGGTCTGAAGAAGGCTTTTCTTCTGCGCTCAGATGGGCTCGAGTTTAAAAAAAGGCCTCTCCCGTTACACATTTGCTGTCGGCAGCTCTTTCTGGGTGGAGCTCAGCTGCCGTTTGACCCCCTCAGGCCTCGCTTTCCATTTTCAGAACAAGCCGAATTTCCTGACGGAGAAAACGTTTAATGAAAACAAAGAGCACCGCCCTGATTTAAGTGAATAATCTACAACTCAACAAACACCAGATTTGTTAACATTTCTAAGATAAAACTCAAACGTAACCAAGTTTTCTAACATCGTGCCTGATCAGGTCCTGTATTTCTGTATTATTTACCAATCAGCGTTTGATTGATCGCGCCTGTTTGCTGATTAGACTCATTAATACCTCTGTAATGATCAATTAGCTGTGATCATGATCACACCTGCGTGACGTCCCGCTGAGCGTTGGTTGCTGCCGTCGTCCTCGTCCCTCCAGCACCGCCGTCGCTCAGAGAGCAGAGAAACGCACGACGTCGGCCTTCTTCTACAGCCAGCGATTTATTTTTGACGTTTTACGCTGCTTTACGCTCCATACGAGAGAAAACGTCCTGTAAAAATAACAAAAGAAGTGTTGATAATTTGTCTTCCTGCACTCTGAAGATCTGAGGCGAGCAGGTATGACGCTCAGCTACTACCACACCTAATTTGAGCTCAGTATATATATATATATATATATATATATATATATATATATATATATATATATATATATATATATATATTATTCAAAACTAATTTGAATTGCTTTTTTTGTCACATCTATGACGTGTGCATTGATGAGATTTTTGTGGTAAAACATTTACCGTATTTTCCACCGTACACGTCGCACCGCCCTATAAGTCGTATCAGTCCAGTTATGTCTAATAAAGTTGAAAGAAACATAAATACGTTGCATCTTGTAAATGAGTCTTTGAGGCTCAATGTGATTTATCTGTTTAAATAAAGGTTGAATGAATTTATGTATTATGCATCACCGCTGACAATCTGGAAATGTGGTCCGGTGTTGTGCCAAAAATCGATTGGCTGTCAAACAGCGGCTGCGGGAGCGTGCACGGGAGGACTTTAACAAGAATTTAACAAGATTGACACCTAAAATCAATTATTTATTTGTTTGATATTTTAGTAAAGGTGCGTCTCAGCCGAACTTTTACTTAATAAATGCACTTGAATGGTCAAATCAGCTGCATTTCTCCAGGGCGGTGCAGAGAAATGAAGCTGATTTGACGGTTGCTCCAGGTGAGCTGGACGATGGTGTTAGTCTATGGCAAGCCGATTGTGCCATTAATAGCCACTTTTACCTATTACATGACATAACGGCATGCCATACAACACAAGTGCCATCTAGTGGCTGAACATGGTAGTGTTCAATATTTTCAGTCAGAATGAATGAAAACGGTCATATCTCAGTGAAAAATTGGTTTATATAGAAAAAAATCCATAAATAAATCGCTTCAGCATATAAGTCAAAGAGTATGCAAATTAGGAAAAAGGTGCGACTTATAGGCCAGAAAATACGGTAATTTAAAAGGTATCGCGTTCTCGATGAGTTTTCTTCTGCACGTTTTCAGCACGTGACCTAATCCTCCATTTTTCTGCTATTTCAACAGTTCGTGTCTCAAAACCTTCGGCTCATCCAGGACATCCCTGCTGGGACTTTTGGGATTCGTGCATTCTTAACTTTTTGAAATATTTAGCTTTGTCTGCCATTTTTGGTTTCATAGAAAATGAACGGAGCTCCCTTCACGTCCTTCAAACCCTTTAGCTGTTTACGACCTTTAACTGCTCATTTCAGCTGTTGTTTTCCTCTGATTGACCTTTTTCTGCTTTTCTTTGCTACTTTACGCCATTTGTGATTATTCCCAATAATTTAAAACTTTCTGCTAATTTCAGCCTTTTTTTTTCAGCTAATTTTTGAGCTAATCTCAGTTTGTTTTTAATCTATTCAGCCTCTCTGCCTATTTCAGCTTATCCTGCTCATTTCGGCTACATTTTTTATTATACAGGTTAATCCCATTGAGCCTCTGGGACTCATTTACAAGAGAGGCCTGATTTGAACAAAGAGTGCCGACAGTGGACAATCGTAAAGAATGTGTACGAATTGAGAATTTTTATTTCTGCTCGATTCAACTTTTTCTACATTTGTCTGCTGCTTTCAGCAAATGTCAGCTGTTTAAATTTAGCTCAGTTTCACGCAGTTTAGTGATTAAAACTTTTCAGCTGATTTCAGAAAAAAAAACGTTCACTGCGTTTTACCAGGAAGTGACATTTTATTGAAGTCTTCCAGTTTTTATACGTTAAAGTTTGTTCGAGAAAATCTCCCACTCACGTTGTTTACCCAGAAGAACAACTCGACGCCAGAAGATTTTTAACTATGATTTTATTTTCACGTCCGATTTTCAGGCCAGTTTACATGAATATACATAAAATGTACACGCATGAAGACCGGTCACGAGAATCTGCCTGGAGCTGCGACATCGGCTCGCTTTTATACCTTTATCAGTTCAGCTGAGTTCAGAGCTCAGATGGCCTGGGAGCCAGCTGCAGCCAAACATATGGTTCATGGGCGCAGACAAGATGGTGGAGACGGTTTCGGTCGTGTCTTCGGCTTCTTCTTCTTCTCAGACATAGAATAAAAACATTTGCGACCTTTGACCAAAAATCAGTTTCTGCCGACTCTTTATGAAACGGCGACACTCTGAGGTTGAAACGTGTTGGCGTTTTCACGATTTTAACGATTCGCGTTTCCCGCCGCCGATGCGTGCCGTCACCCCCGACCACGTTCTCTCAGTTCAGTCGTCAACAGTCGCAGATCACCGAGGAATCACCTTCAGCTGTGGCGGCCATCTTGAACTGGGTTTACTCCAGAAGAGAATCAGCTGTAGACGCTCATCTGTTCATCATTTTGCTCTCAGACAAAAAAACGACAAAAACATTGTCGCCTGCGTTTTGGTGGCAGGCGACGATGTTTTGTTGTTTTTGTCTCATTTAAATTTTTCCTTGTTTGGACCAGGACTCAAAGACCAAAACCTGGTTCCAATCAAACAGATCTTCAAATCAGGTTTGGGCTGAATATGTGAGGAGGCAGTGAGCAATCAGCTGAAAATGAAGTCAAAGGAAGGAGCTTCAGCTAATCAAAGGAGCTTCAGCTAATCAAAGGAGCTT